CACTGATCTTAAGAGAATTTTAATAAAACTGACATCTCCAATTTTAAAAATAAATGCTTTATTCCATACCTTGGAGGATTTTTGGTGATGGGGAAAAAGGTAAGGAATTGCTAATTTAGAGGAGTACAGGTTTTGATGGCAGAAGATTTTATCAAGGTAGTTTTTCTGCTGTTTAAGAAACTTGTTTCTTCCATGTTTCTGTTGGGCTGTTCTGTCTAACTTAAGGACGGTTATCATCCAAAATCAGGAGATGTGGCATCTCCAATGGAGAGACAGAGTGGGATACAAATGATTTCTTGTGAAGTTATTAGGAGACCTGGGGAGAAAAGACAGAAACCCACTGCCGTCCAGTCAATTCCAACTCAGCAAACCCTCAATGGGTTTCCGAGGTGATAAGTCTTTGTGGAAGTAGATTGCCTGGTCTTCCTTCCACGGAGTGGCTGGTAGGTTTGAACTGCCGGCCTTCTGGTTAGCAGTCAGATGCCTTAAGTGCTGTGCCACCAGAGCTTAAGGAGAAAAGACAAGGAGGAAATACAGCAGCACTTTCACGGTTTGTCATGCCTTCTCGAAACACCTCCCTCCCTTGACTTTCGAGACCCACACACTTTTGGCTTTTACAACTCATGGGCCGCACTTGCTCACTCGTCATTGCTGGACCCTGTGTTGGAGGGCCCACCCTTCCCCTCACTCTTCCTCCTCCAGCCAGGTGTGAGGAACTGCTTTATAGGTCCCCAAACGTACCGAGCACATTGTCACTTGCAGGGGTTCTGCCCTTGTTATAAACTCAAAAACAAATCCATTTGTCATCATATCGTTTCCAACTCATAGCCACCCCCAGGACTGAGTCATACTGCCCCTTAGGGTTTCCAAGGCTATCATCTTTAAGGAAGCAAACTATGTTTTTCTCCTGTACAGCAGCTGGTAGGTTTGAACCGCAGACCTGCCAGTTAGCTGCTGAGCGCTTTAACCATTGTGCTGCCAGGCTCCCTGCTGGGCATATAGTGTCAAATATTTGTTGACTGAATTAATGAATAATGCCCCAAGTATTAAATCTGTCATCATCACTCATTGTCTTTCACTGAATACATAATATACAGATGGTCATGCAATTTTTTTCACTATTGGTTCAAGCCACTCCTTGTTTATCTAGCCAAAAGTTATGTCATTTTCATGGCAGTGCAAAATAAAGGAGGCAGAGTCCTCATTACCTCGTACACACCCTGATATTCTGATGAAATCAAGATGCGCACGTAACTAAATCCAGGACACTCAAATTTGTTTTTCTTGCCTTTTTTTTTTTTTCTTCTTCTTCTTCCATAGTGGGCATGTGCCAGGCAAGTCTGGTAAAAAAAATCCAGTGCCTCAGTTTCCCCAGTGTGATAGAAAGATGTGGTCTGAGAAAAACAGTCTAAAGCAAACAAGCCTGTATTTCCCCGCTCCCACCCCCAGACGCCACCTCCTCCTTCATGAGGACTGTCACAGGCCCAGATCAAGTCGTCTGAGTCTCTGGGAACACTGACCCCACCCACCTTGCACGTTGCTGGTACCTGGGCCGTTCTTCAGCCACCTTCAGTAGGAGAAAAAGATGTGGCAACACAGAGTGCAAGCTACAAGGTCTCTGAAAAACCACTCATCTTCTGTACCAAGTGGTGTAGCCGGAAAGCAATTGAAATTCCAGCAGTTGGCAGTCTCAGAATCATCTAGTGTAGTGGCTCCTGAGCCTCATTACTAAACAGAATCACCTGGGCAGCTTTTTAAAAAATACATATTCCCAGGTTCTGCAGCCTTACAGTTGGGGTGTGCATGTACATACACATACTAGAGCAGATCAGAATACTCCCAGTGATAAATAACATGTGCTATGAAGAAGCAAGGGAGCTCTGGTGGCATAGTGCCTAAGGCATTTGACTGCTAACCAGAAAGCTGGTGGTTCAAACCCACCAGCCACTCCTCGGAAGGAAGGTTGGGCAATCTACTTCTGTAGCGATACCGCCTTGGAAACGCAAGGAGGGGTTCGTTATGTGTCCAGTCCGTCTTGACCACAGTGAGTTTGGTTTTTGGTTTTGGTATGAAGAAGCAAATAAAGGGCAGAAAAACAGGAGTGCAGATGATGGGGAAGGGTTTTCTGAGGCTAACAGTCTGTGATGGGAAGTATCAGAAGAAGTATTAGAGGAACATGTCAGGCCAGAAATAGTGTGGTGTGCTCATGGAATTAAAAGCAGACCAGTGTGGCTGGAATACACAGCGAGTGAGTAGGGGAAGAGCTGGGGTGTGGTGAGAAAAGAAGCTGGGGCCATATCTTGGAGGCCTTGTAAACAACAGTGGAGAGTTTGGGTTTTCTTCTGAGCACTTAGGTTTTCCTAAGGACTGTGAGTACTGTTCTGGTCCCTTAGTGCCACTCTGACAAGAATATTCCACAAATGGGATGGCTTGAACAAACAGGAGTTTATTCTCTTACAGTTCGGGAGGCTAGAAGTCCAAGTTCCAAGTGCCAGGTTCTAGGGGCTGTGGGAAAGAAAGCCCCTTGACCTTGGGCTTTAGCTCTGCCTCTTGCTTCCGGCCACTGAAGATAGAGGTGTCTCTTCACTCGGGCAGCTACTGGCTGCTGAGGCTAACAAGTCCAAGGTCGACAAATAAAATGGCACAGCCCTGATGTTACCAAACCACATGGCAGGCCATTCATTCAACTCCATTGTAAGTTCCAGGGTCGGTAGAGCATGGCAGCCTGCTGAATGACGACTTGACTACATGCAGGGTTCAAGTGTCTCTAAACTAGAGACCGTTCCCCAAGGCTTCTCCTTATATACAGGAAGCAGACCACATTCCAAAGGCAGCTACTCAGCTGCTCCCAGTAGATTCCACCATGGAGTTGGTTACCAGTCTCATCATGGGGAAGACTACATCCAGCTGCCCAGCCGCTCAACCAGGCCCAGCCAAGTTGACACACAGACTTCACCACCACCACAAGAACTGTGTGGAGTGTGGGCTGAAGGAGGACACGAGTGACTTTCTGAGACCTGCAGGAGGCTTGCTTTCCTCTGATGGGCGACAGATCTGAAGCAGCGGCCCTGCCGCCGGAGGGGAGAGGGCGGCTTTGGGTATTTATTTTAAGTCAACAGGACTTAGTGGTGAATTGGAAGTGGGGTGAGGGAGAGGATGAGGGGAACAAGGATGATACGTGATGAGGGACTTCTACTAGGGGCAATATTGGGTGTAAAAACGCAAACGCAACCACTGCCGTGGAGTTGGACCCGACTCACAGCGACCATCCTTGGGTTTCCGAGGCAGTATCACTTCGGAAGTAGATTGCCCAACCTTCCTTCCGAGTATTGGGTGTCGTTGAGTCATTTCTCTGGAGCCACACTCTTGGGCAAGTCACTTAACCTCTTTGTGACCCAGTTGCCTCGTCTGTAAACTGCAGTTCTTAGGGTACTTCCCCATTGGGTTGGTGGCAAATTGGTATTGGTAAAGCACTTGGAACGGAGCTTGTCACACGGTAAAGCACCATGTAAGTTTGAGTGGGGCTGTGGAGGCTGGTGACGCATCCAAGGTCACACAGCTGGTCCTGATGAGAAGCCCGAGCTTTGCCTCCTAGTTTAGTGTCCTTTACGCTGCACGGTTCTGCCTCTGTCACGTACCTCTGCTCGTCTTTATTTACGCAGACTTTTGGTGGAGGGTTTGGTCACCATGGTACACAATGAGTTTCACTTCTTATAACGTGTGAGTGTTGGGCCAAACACAATAAATTACTAATGTTTTCTGTAGAACCTGGAATTCCAGACTATTTTGGCTATCCATAAAACTGCCCAGACAAAACACTAGGTGTGGACGTTGGGAAGATGAGGGTATAGGAAGAGGGATGCTTTCTGGGTAGTTTTTAAATACTGGAAGAAATGTCTTCCAGACTGTGGCCGTGCTCATGTTGCCCACATGCTTCGGCTGGAGGAGGTACATGAACTTCAATAGGAGACAGCAGTCAGAGTCCTCACTTCCGGCAGTCGTAGGCCAGCGCACACCAAGAGAAGGAGAGGAGTAAAGCTTGGGAACGGTCGTGTAGCTCCACCAGATTGTCAGGTTTCTAGTGATACATCTTGAAGAAGTGTTTGAAGTGCTTCTATCTGTCAGTTTCAACTAAGCTAATTTTAAAAAAATGGCTCTTTGTACTGAGTCTTTCCCATGAACCTCTGAGCTTAATGTGTGCAATATGTGGGGGAAATCCTATCAGCCAAGTTCCCATTCCCTTCTGGGGTCTGAGAAGCACATTTCGAAAGCCCAGTGTTGCACCTGCAAGGATTTGTCATTTTATTAAACTGGGACTTAAGGCCATTTTCAGCGTGTCTTGTGGGAAGGAATTTCGAAAAAGAGTGAGAGAAAAATGCCAACTGGGTCCTTCCTCCCTCGTGTGGACTGTTTTGTTGCACCTCTGTCTCTAACTGTGTGGGAGGACTGTTCTTCATTACCAGGGAATGTGAGTCATTCCCAACTTGTGTGATTGGGATTCCAAAGCACTGCTGTCTCCGATGGTCTTATTAAATCCAAGTGTCATGCAGCCTTTCAGACTGTAGGGGAGAGCTCAGTTACAGCTGGTGACCTGCTTCTAGTTAGCACACAGAGACACTGGCAAGAGCAGTGACCCCCTCAGAGTACCCAGAATTCCACGTGGATGGCTGTTACCAACTCTTCCCAGTTCTGGGGGTTTCCTGGTTCATTTCGTGGGCTTCAGTACATTTCAGTTTCCTGTTTCTATCCTAACTGGGATCTGTGTACTTTGGCAAAAATGTTCTAGTGTCTATATATAGCTCTTGCTAAGATGGGCCTAGGATTTGGAGGGTACCTTGGTGTGAGTGAATGATCAGCCTAGCAGTGGTTAACTGCGCTGAGTCTGTGATCTAGCAAGACACTACCCATTCTCAACTTGGCCCAGATAGAACATCAGCCCAAGAGGGGAGGAGACGAGTTGTTGCCAGAAATTAGTTTGCTCTGTCTTTTCTTTCTTCTAGAGTGTTTCACAGCCAATGGTGCGGATTACAGGGGAACGCAGAACTGGACTGCGCGGCACGGCGGGAGGCCATGTCTGTTCTGGAACGAGACTTTCCAGCACCCATACAACACTCTGAAATACCCCAACGGGGAGGGGGGCTTAGGTGAACATAACTACTGCAGGTAAGATGGGGCCACTCAGGACTTAAAAAGCCTCTCGTCTCTCCTACCAGTCCCTTTCAACCTGCTCACAACTAGGGAAGATGTTTTTTTTGTCCTTTGGGCAACTCCAAAGGCCTTTCATGTCTCTATGCTAAAAATCTTTCCTCTGTACCGTACACACACGCACGCAGATACCGTCTACCACTCTCTTCAGCTCGGGTTGCTTTGATGCTGGTTTTCCGAGCTCTGCTGTCCTGTCTCATCATTCCATGACTCTCTGGGAACCTTTTCTTATTGGCTCTCCCACCGGGAGACAATAATACACACAAACACACATATGTGCACACAGCTTCCTGAGCTGCTGTGAATGTGGTGGTCAAACAGGACACCATCTGTGACCCAAGCTTCCCTCTGTTTCTGAGCAAAGGAAGCTGCCCCACATTCCGCACCTCCTGCCAGCCCAGCATAACCTTGCTCTGCCAGCAGCTGTATCCTAGACTGGAGCGCTTTAGTACTTCTCAGCGGGTGAGGAGGTTTCTTCGCCCTTCACCTCTTGCCTGACTCCAGCAGGGGCTTATTGTTGTTGTTGGATGTGCCATCGAGTTGGATCTGACTCATAGCGACCCCTCCTTGGGTTTCCAAGGCAGTATCACTACGGAAGTAGATTCCCTAACCTTCCTTCCGAGGAGTGGCTGGTGGATTTGAACCGCCAGCCTTCTGGTTGGCAGTCAAGGACCTTAGGCACTATCCTACCAGAGCTCCATGGAGCGGCTAAAATGGCGTATAATCATGATTTTCCGGGCAGGTGATGGGCGGCTCTCATCAGATTCTCAGTTACCCCTGATGTAAACAAGTTAAGAATCACTGGTCTGTAGGGACTGGAGCAGAGACGCTGAATTCTTTTGGTTATAGCTCCATTTTAGCTGTTAATACCCACAGTCCTGATAATGTGACTCCTGACTCAACCATTTTTTAATTTGTTATTAGGACAGGTGCAAAGGCAGCCTCTTGAGCCAACACTGGGACAAAGAGAGGTGATTGCTGCACTACACGCAGCTCCTGGAATGTCAGACTCGTACCCACGGCACTGTTAACCCAGCTGAGCCAACACGCACTTGCATTGTGTGGGCCACACTCTCTGCCTTCTGCTCTCCTTACGTACTGTCGCTAGTGCTACCAGGACCCTTGAGACGGTCTGGTTTATTTCCTCCTCCGATTTTCCCATTCATAAGGATAGTTGAATTAGGTTGGGAAGAGTGTTTAGAAAGAGAAATGGGTGCTTGGGTTTTGTTAGCACAAAGTTACTTCTTGTTCTACAGTCTCTTGGGAGTAGGCTGTGGGTGTGTTCCATTACTCTGTTGCTTCCTATCAAGCAAGTCCTCTCAGAAGAGTTTCTGTTTTTAAGTCTGACTTTAAGGTAAATTTGAAATTTCCAATGAGGTTTAATTTATATGGGGAAAAAATAAAGATTTTTTAAACAATATATTAGCACCAAGTTCTACCCATAGGCTCCCAGAAACCCACCAGTAAATATCCATAGCGAGAGCAGTCGAGAGCCGGGGCGCCCACTTTCCTCCCGAGCCCCGAGCCCCGGCATCTGCAGCCCTCTCCTTTGATATGGTGGAATGTACCAGACCTGAACTACCGGTGTATGCTGAAATTGTTGATCATTATCACATCAGAGAGCCTGGGGCCTTTTGTTTTAGCCCTGCAGGGAGGTCACAGATGAATTTTCTTATTCTTTATTAAGCTATTCTGATGCCTTTCAAAACGCTTGTGACATTGATAACAAACAGTTGTTTTCCAAGGGCTTTACCAGAGAATACATCAAAGCTTAGCACGGAGTAGAGAGAGAAAAAATGACAGTGAAAGGCTGTTTAAAGAAAGGCTTTGTATAAATTCTCCGGCTTTGATTTCTTAGCCGACACCTGACACCATGTTTGTCTTGTGCCATTTTTTCAGACCCATCACATTTGAGATGTCTGAGAGATGGCGAGTGATGGGAACACCCTTTGAGTTTGACGTATGTGGATTAGAGGGGAGGGCAGAGACTGGGAAGAGCAGAGCTGGCCCTGGCACCTGCCTTTGGGCACAGGGAATCAAAGGACCCTTTGTGCTTCAGGGAGGCTTATCTTCTAGGCCACACAATAGGCTGATCCCTCTCAGGCCTGATAGGGGTTGCTCTGAAGCTCCCTGCTGCAGGGTCTTTATGCCCGTTTCCGGCCTAACCAGAGTGTCAGGTTCCCAGTGTTCTGAGTCCAAATACAGGGCGCTTGCAAAGCGTGGAGGCTTTCTGTGTGCCCAGAAGCCCTGGCCACTTTTTGGTCCACTTCGACAGCCTTGCCCCATTATTGTCATGATGTCTTGGAACTGAAAAGGCCTTCAAGGGCTTTTATCCCCAGCCATTATCACTGAGAAATGTGAATTCTTTTTAAAATGCTCTGTTGATGTCAGAAATCAGTACAGAGATTATAGGATTGTAGGTTCCAACTGAAACTCTTTGCCAGAGTTTTCCTTGGAATTCCCTGAGGAGCCAGTTTCTGAGGAAGAAGTAGAGCTCATTTCTGTCACACATGGGTTGTCCAGCAGATCCCAGTGAAAGGTTGTCAGCGGTGTCTGTATTATATGAATTGTATCTTGTTGTTTCTCGTAGCGACCCCGTGCACAACAGAACAAAACACTGCCCGGTTCTGCACCAGCCTCACAATCCCTGCTATACCTGAGCCCATCGTGGCAGCCACTGGGTCAGTCCACCTTGTTGAGGGCCTCCCTCTTTTTCATTGACCCTCCACTTTACCAAGTGTGATAGTTAAGTTTGTGTGTCAGCTTGGCTGGGCCTGGTTGAGTGGCTGGGCAGCTGGATGTAGTATTCCCCATGATGAGACTAGTAATCAACTCCATGGTGAAATCTACTGTGAGCAGCTGAGTAGCTGCCTTTGGGTATGTGGTCTGCTTCCTGTATATAAGCAGAAGCCTTGGGGAACAGTCTCCAGCTTATGGCATCTTGAATCCTGCATGTAGCTGTGTCTTTGTTCAGCAGCCTGCCATGGTCTGCCAACCTGGGAACTTACAATGGACTTGAATTAATGGCCTGCTGTGTGATTTGGTAATGTCGGGACTGTGCCTTTTTACTTGTCAACCTTGGGCTTGGCAGCCTCAGGAGCCAGCAGCTGTCTGAGTGAAGAAAAGCCTCTAGCTTCAGTGGGCCGGGACCTGGAGGCAGAGCTGAAGCCCAAGGTTGAGGGGCTTTCATCCAGCCCCTAAGCCTGGCACTTTGACCTTGGACTTGGAGCCTCCCGAACTGTGAGAGAATAAACTCCTGTTTGTTAAGGCCATCCCATTTGTGGTATATTTCTTGTCAGAGTGGTACTGGGTAACCAGAACACCAAGCATGACATCCTACTCTAGAGAATGATCCCTTCTGACAACATGACCAAAATAGGTAAGACAAAGTCTGGCCATTGTCGCTTCCAAAGAGCATTCTGGCCATACTTCTTCCAGGACAGATTTGCTAGTTCTTCTGGCAGCCCATGGTACTTTCAGCATTCTTCACCACCACCACAACTCAATAGCATCAACTCTTCTTTGGTCCTCCTTATTCATTGTCCAGCTTTCGCGTGCATATCAGGAGATTGAAAATACCATGGCTTAGGTTAAGCACATTTTAGTCTTCAAAGAGACATCTTTGCTCTTCAGCACTTTGAAGAGATCTTTTGCAGCAGATTTGCCCAGTGCAATATGCCCTCTGATATCTTGACAGCTGCTTCCATTGGTGTTGATTGTGGAACCAAGTAATATGAACTCTTTGACAATTTCAGTCTTGTCTCCATCCATCGTGATGTTGGTTATTGCACCAGTTGTGAGTATTTTGGGTTTTTTTTACATTGAGATGTAATCCATACTGAAGACTGAAGTCTTTAATCTTCGTCAGTCAGTGCTTTGAGTCATCCTCACTTTCTGCAAGCAAAGTTGTGTCATCTGCGTATTGCAGGTTGTTAATGAATCTTCCTCCATTCCTGATACCACGTTCTTCTTCATATAGTCCAGCTTCTTGGATCATTTGTTCAGCATACAGATTGAATAAGTATGGTGAAAGGATACAACCCTGACACACTCCCTTCCTGATTTTAATCCATGTATTATCCCCTTGTTCTGTTCAAATGACAGCCTGTTGGTCTATGTATAGGTTCCTCATGAGTACAATCAGGTGTTTTGAAATTGCCATTCTTCTCAGTGTTATCCATAATTTGTTATGATCTACACAATCAAATGCTTTGCATAGTCAGTAAAACGCAACTAAACATCTTTCTGGTATTCTTTGCTTTCAGCCAAGATCCATCTGACATCAGCAATGATATCCCTTGATCCATGTCCTCTGCTGAATCCAGCTTGTATCCTATTGTATCTTGTTGTTGTTGTTATGTGCCCTCAAGTTGGACCCAACTCATAGAGACCCCTCCTTGGGTTTCCAAGGCAATATCACTACAGAAGTAGATTGCCCAACCTTCCTTCTGAGGAGTGGCTCCTGGGTTCGAACTGCCAGCCTTCTAGTTAGCAATCTAATGCCTTAGGCACTTTGTCACCATGTATCTTCCTGTTTAGTAAACCTTTACAAATTATCTTGGAAGGAAGATTAGGCAATCTGCTTCCATAGAGATACCACCTCGGAAACCCAAGGAGCGGTTGCTATGAATCAAATCGACTCAATGGCAGTGAGTTCAGTTTTTGTTTGGTTACAAATTTTACACTATTGCAGTAGGAGAATTATATACAATACACTAGTGCATTGTAGAGGAAAGAGAAAATAAAGAGACCAGAAAAGAAAAAAATTAAAATCGCCATTAGTTGCACCATCTAGAGATAATTTTTTTTTTCTAACTTTTTGTTGTGATTTGTGTGTGGTTTTACAAAGCAGATTCGTTTTCCATTCAACAATTGGTACGCATTTTGTTTCTCGACACTAATTACAATCCCATAGTGTAACAGCTCTCTTCCTTCCTTGTCCCTCCTCCCTGTGTTACCCCTTCCCTGTGTCCTTCTTCTTGCCTATGTGTACCTGCCTGCATAGCTTTCTCCCTGTGCAAATGCTGCCCTTCTGATCTCCCTGGTTGGCTATTCTGAGGAGTGCATCTCCCGGGTGTAGTTGTTTAGCTCATAGGCCTGTCTGTTGTTTAGTGGAGAGTTAAGCCACAGGAGTGAGCCCCAGGAGTGGGTCCAATTCCAGGTCCAAAGGGTGACTCAGGGTCATAGTCATAGGAGTTTCACCAGTCTCTATCCGACCAACAACCCTAGACTTTTTTTTATGTTTTTGAATTTTGTTCTGCATTTTTTCCCCCACTCTCTTAAACCAAACCAAAACCAAACCCATTGCCGTCGAGTCGAACCCAACTTATAAGTGACACCTCCTTGGGTTTCTGAGGCAGTATCACTATGGAAGTAGATTGCCCAACCTTCCTTCCAAGGAGTGGCTGGTGGGTTTGAACTGCCAGCCTTCTGGTTAGCAGTCAGATGCCTTAGGCACTATGCCACTCTACCTAGGATCTTCAATTTTGATCTCTTTCTGAGTGGTTGGCATTGTTAGCTGGGCACCATCTAATTCTGGTCTCAAGGTCATGTAGGCTGAGGTTCCCATGGTCCATTAGTCCCTATGACTAATGGTCCAAAGTCCATACAGCTTTGATTTTCTTTACTCTTCTTTGCTCTGGATGAGGAGAGAGCAATAGTTGCATCTTAGATGGCCACTTGTAAGCTTTTAAGACCCAAGTCGCTACTCATCAAAGCAGCATGTAGAACAGTGATTTTGTGTACCGTGCTGTTCCAGTTGAACTTGCTGTCTCCCGTGACCATGATCCCGAGTCCACAGGCCCAGTGACTCACTCCCTCAAGGTGCTTGGTTGTGGCTAAGAAGTTATCCTAACTTTGTCCCCTGTTAGCTCTGTAATATATGTGGACATTTTTATAGCACATACCAATACGTCAGTATATAGGAATATCATCTGACAAACCTGTGTGTATGGTCATGGATATGTTCCCATCTGCCTCCCCATACCTGGTCTTCTTGTCTGTCTACCTATGTATCCACCCAAAGATTAGTGTTTGTGACCACTGATAATGCAGTGTTGTGTATGTAAACGTGTTACCTCTGTTGTCTGTACTTCTTGTGCACCTCGCTGTGTCTTCCTTTTCCTTAGTGATACTCTGTTGATCACACCTTTTAAAAATATGGAACGCTTTACAAATTTGCGTGTCATCCTAGAGCAGGGGCTGTGCTAATCTTCTCTGTATCATTCCAATTTTAGTATATATGCTGCTGAAGGGAGCACGAGGGATAAATACTTCTGCATATTTTATATGAGGGATTAATGGGATCGTGTCATCCATGGTGTTTTATAACTGCCTTTGCAAAGAACCTGTTAAGATACTGTAACTATCTTTCCATATTAATTTCCGCCCCTGTTAATGCACTCTGTCTGCTGCTAACCAGAAGGTTGGAGGCTCCAGTCCCCCCAGAGGCACCTCAGAAGAAAGGCCTGGTGACCTGCTTCTGAAAAGTCACCCCTTGAAAGCCCTCCTGGAGCACCGTTCTCTTCTGACACACCTGGCGCATGAGTCAGAGTCAAGTTGACAGCAGCTATTTGGTTTCTTGGGGGATGGTTTCCGTATTAATCAGTGTTCCTCTACACTGCCTTGTTCCTAGATGCCTGACTTCTTTTGTGTAAACATAGTATATTTATATTTCGTCCTCTGTTGTTGGATATTGTTTGTCTCCAATTTTTTTATATTATAAAAATGCTTTGGTGAACACCTTTGTAAGGAAAGACTTTGTTAGAATAAATTCCTAAAGAAGACATTGGCTAGATAAAGGTTTTGCACATTTTTAGGGTCTTTGATTCTAATTACCAAATTGCTGCCTGGCCGTTTGTGTGGTTTCACGTTCTCGTCAGTGGTGTGGGAGAACGCCCGTGCTCTCTCTGAGGTGGGATCCCAGTGTGCACATTCCAGGCGCCAGTGCTATTTAGCATTATTTGTTGGTGGTCAGTTGTCCTGGTTACACTGCAGTGAATTTTTCTAAACTTGTGTCACCTTTGCCCACTTCCTCCCCAAACTGGACTGTGTGTCAGATCGGAAAGCTCTGTCTTATAGTATTACCGTTTTTTCCTTCTTGATAAGAGATGGCATCGAGATAGAGCCAGTCACGGGAAAGAACCCCAAAGTCGGAGTGATCCCTTTCTGTGGAACTGGAAAGCAATGAACCAGTTGCCTTCAAATGCCAGAAAGGTTATTGATGGTGTCCTTTTCCTCGACAGGAACCCAGATGGAGACGTGAGCCCCTGGTGCTATGTGGCCGAGCACGAGGACGGTGTCTACTGGAAGTATTGCGAGATACCTGCCTGCCAGAGTAAGACTATATGATGCGTGATCTGAAGGCTAAGAGTGACATGGTGGGAGACCACCGACCAGCTCAGGCAGGCTCAGGCAGGCGGATTTCAGAAAACAGGTGCCGGGAGAAGGCGTCACTGCTCTTATTGAGGCTTTCCAGGAATAGAAATGCCCACTTCCCTCAGTACCCCACCCCCTTACTGGGTAAACCCAACTAGAATTCGTACCTTAATTTCCTCTTACTGATTCCTTCATAGATACAAAGGATGACAGCTTAGAGCAGGCTAGAAAAGTACCTTGCTAGAAAAGTACTTTTTGGAACGAATAAAGAACTGCTTTAGAGACAGTAAAACTAAGGAGCTCTGATTGTTATTATTTGGCTTTGCACATGCTCCCTGAAGTAATTATATTCAGTAAATACCGGATTGAATACCATACAAAGCCACTATTCAAGTTCTTTCCCCCAGTTCTTTTGTTCTAAAAGTTCTTTCTTTTAGCATAAAGTTGTTCTGATGTTTTCTGAGGATAATAACTCACCCATACCTTTCCACTGCTGGAAAACCCAGTTTCTTCAGTCTTTGAGCAGAAGGTCTTTTTTCTCTTTCATGCATTCATTCCCATAATAAATGTTTGTTCTCTGCTAGATACAAAGGCAAAGAGATACCCTGGCCCTCGGGGAGGGTATCTTCTAGCAGGGAACCCCAGAAGGATGCTTTCAAACAAGGTGGAAACTCCTGTAGACAGGTTGCACAGAAAGTTCCAAGTACAAAACTGAAACTAAACCTGGTACCAAAAGGAACTTGCTCACGTACCGTCGATGATGCCTTTGAATAAGCCGGGGAACAGGTTCGCAGACCCTCTCACTCACTGCCATCGGGTCAGATCTGACTCATAGCGACACCCCCGCCTTGGATTTCTGAGGCAGTATAACTATGGACGGAAGGAAGGTTGGGCAATCCTACTTCCGTAGTGATAACTGCCTCGGAAACCCAAGGAGGGGTCGCTATGAGTCGGGGCCGACTCGACAGCAAATAACAACAACAACAACATAACTATGGAAGTAGATTGCCCAGTTTTCCTTCCAAGGAGTGACTGGTGGGTTTGAACCTCCAGCCTTCTCGTTAGCAGTCAGATGCCTTAGGCACTACGCCACCAGAGCTCAGCTGAGAAGATCAGTTCATTCATCATCATTCTGCCTGGCTTTTTTTTTTTCCTTATTATCTAAACCTACTTCTTGTCCCGCCCTCTTCTCACTCCTCCGGTCAGGAAGTTTGTGTAGATAGAATGGTGTGGAGATTCAGGCGGGACCAGAACAACAGTCTGAATTTGATGCCCCCACGTGAAAGTGCTGCTGCCCCAGTGCTTACCTTTCACAATTTAAACTTCCACATGTCACCACTACCTGACAGCTAGGCTTCAGCTGCACTGTCCTCCCAGCCTGACTGTGTCTTAATTCAGTCACGAAATTGAGAAGTAGGCTTTCGCTCAGTCTGCTTAGTCAAAATTTTAAAATGAAAATGGTCTCGTCTGGCTCGAGTTTTGTAAAGAAGGAAAGGGCAGTGGGGGGTGGTGGCAGATTTTCCTCGGTCCGTTTGTTCTACACAAAGATAGTCTTTGAGTGCCAGCCTATGTCCTCCACTCAGGGATGGGGAAGGGATTTCGGTTTGGGCACTTTTATGTGGAAAGATAATCCTCTTCGGCTTGGATTTATAAAATATCATTTGGGCCAACAGGAGCTGGTCCCCATGGTCATTGACTCTAGGCGCCTGAAGAGAGAATTAATAGCAAGCTGATACAAAGCCCTCCAATTTGTAGTATTCGTCCGATGTGCCTCGCTGTACCGAATAAGGGAAATTAAACATTATGTCCGTTTCTGACCACCTTTTTGATAAACCTCTCAATACTCCTAAAGTTGGCCTTGACCTGCTCTGGCGAGGCAGACTTGGAGAAGTTGGGAATGAGAACTCAAGTACCTGGTTTAGGGGAAGTGAGTGGTGGTGCCTGGCTTTGGTGCTTTGCAAAACGCTTCAGTCCACCCTGGGGCCACCAGGGTCCCCCATCAGAGCCAGCCGCAGACCTTGAGTCGGGCAGGACCTCGTATCTGGTGCCTCTGATTCACATCGTTGAGAAAAGCGCTGGGGCTGTCTGCAGCAAGAGGCCTAGCTGGTTGCCTGAAGGCCGCAACTGGGAGGCAGCCTATTTCAGGCCACTTCTGCCCTATTTCTGGATGTGGAAACAGGCTTGTCATGAATAATACTAACCCTCTGTGTGAAGCCTGCTATTCATGATTAGCACTGAGCTTGTCATACAGGAAAAGGCCTGTGACATGATCAGATTCCTGGAAAGTTCATATCTGAATATAACAGTCCCAGCAGGAGCCAGGCAGAATGAGTGTTTCGGAACAAAGCAGAGACCGGTTGAATGGTGGGTCATTGTTTAGAGACCGGAATCTCTGCCCCTCAGCTCGTAACATGAAGAGTGAAAACAAGCAGGGAGGCAGAGATGAGGTATGATTCAAAAGGGGCAAAGAGAAGCTTCAATTGTGCCCTTGACCTACGGGACATGGATCAGAACTAACCATTAAAAGGAGAACAACTCCAAGGTAATTGGATTTGTTCTTCAAACTGCAGCCGCCAGGATGTTTCAGAAACCCTGCGCTCTTATTACAGACTGGAGCAATGCAGATTTTAAAAGCAAATTCTCATCTCATCAGGTTTACCATCCCTCTAGATCCCACCCTCCAGAGCTCTGTTGGTGCAGTGCCTAAGGCATCTGACTGCTAACCAGAAGGCTGGCGGTTCAAACTCACCAGCTGCTCCACGGAAGGAAGATGGGGCGATCTACTTCTGAAAAGATTTACCGCCTTAGAAAGCCAATGAGCGTCGCTATGAGTCAGAATTGACTCGATGGCAGTGGGTATGTTGTTTTGTTTTGTTTAGGTCCCATCCTCTAGATCTCAAAGCCCTGCCGGTTTGGCTATTGAAGGGGGAAATATTTGGCTGTTGAAGGGGGAGATAGTCATGTGGCTTAAAATCTGCCCTTTTGTTTTTATTTTGTTAAATAGTCATCCTTACCATCCTCATTCCCCTTTGCTTTGTTGCTTTTGAGGGGCATGTTAGTGAGGACCTCAGCATGGCTTTTACTCTGCTACATTTTTGCCTAGGAGCTCTGGTGGTACAGTGCCTAAGGCATCTGACTGCTAACCAGGAGGTTGGCGGTTCAAACCCAAACCCAGAAGCCACTCCACGGAAGGAAAAGAGGGCAATCTATTTCCGTAAAGATTTACCACCTTGGAAACCCAGTGAGGGTCACTGTGAGTCGGAATCGACTCAGTGGCAGTGGGTTTTATTTCTCCCCGAGGATGTTCATGAAAGTTTTGTACGGTTTTTGAAACTAAACAGTGTCATTGTGAGTTGGGGGGAAAACCTGCAAATGGCATTTAAAGGCAAATGTCATTTTCTTTGTATAACTCATCTGGGCCTGAGGCCACAGGTGTGAGAAATTTGCCTTCTCATCTCTGGGAACTATTTTTTGTTTGCTGAAAAATAGTAAACAACTATTTAAAATAATAATAATAATAATAATTCACTTGTGTAGTACAAACTCAATTATAAAAAATTCATCTTTGAAATAGTTGGGGAATTTGAGTATCGAATAGGTATTAGACTATATTAAGAAATTATTGTTAATTTTATTAGGTATGCATCTTAGTTTGTTAGTGTTGCTATAATAGAAATAGGACAAGTGGGTGGCTTTAGCAAAGAAATTTCCTTTCTCACAGTAGGGGCCAGAAGTCTGAATTCAGGGTGCTGCCTCTAGGGGAGTTGGCTCAGGAGGAAGGTCCTTGTCTTCTTCAGCTTCTCTTATTTGGTTCCTTGATGATTTCACATGGAGTGTATCTTCCCCTCCTGTGACCCACTCTTGGGGATGTTTGAAAGTGTTCATTATAAAAATACCATTTTCTATTAATTTCACAAGATTGAGAGTATCTAGATTGAAATAATGTAACATGAGGTATAGTACTTCTGTATATAGCTCACAGGAATCTGAATAATTATTAAAGTTAGCTTCCTTCTCAGTGCCTAATCTGTTCTTTTTATAGCTCACAAATGATTGGTTTAAAACACACTCCAAACTGGTGTCCTCTCGTTAACATAATAGAGAAAGTCCTATTCTCAAATGAGATTACATCCACAGGTGGAGGGGTTTAGGGTATACATATGTTTTAGGGGACATAATTCAATCCATAGCAGTGTGATAATGGCATTGTGGTTATATATACTTTAAGTGTCCTTTTTAATTAGACACATAGTAAGGTATTTGTGTTGAAATAAAATTCATGTCTGGGATTTGCTTTAAATAGAAAGTATCTAGGTGGTGGGGAGGGAAATAGATGAAATAAAAATGGTAAAAAAAATATATATGAATTTTTATTGATGCTGAGTGATGGGTAATTTTTAGTATTCTTTCCCACACTTATGTATGTTTGAAAGCGTCCGTGATAAAAATAACTTTTTCTATTTAATTTTACAATACCGAAAGTATCTAGATTGAAATATGCAACATGATCTGTAATACTTTTTGTATATAGCTCACAGGTATCTGAATTAATTATTAAAGTTAGTTACTAAAGTTTTAAATGTACACAAGGACTTTAGACATACTTTACATGTCATTAGCTGTGATGAATGATTTTTCTCAAGCTCAGATCACATGCTAGATCTTGTACAAAGCAGGGGGTTACGATAGCCTAGTCTGTGACTTGTGGGGAGCCCATGGTAGAGGAAGTAAGAGAGACACACAAATAGATAAGCATATCAAGATACTCAGTAATAAGTAAGGTGAGCAAAAGGTTCTACAGGAAAGTACAGAGGGACACCTGGCCTGGCCTGGCAGGAGGCAGGGGCTACGTTTGTCACGGAAGGCTTCTAGAAGAAGTTAAGGCTTAGTGCAGAGCTTCTCCCACTCCAAGGTGCCTCCAGTCGCCTGGGGTCTCGTTAGAACACAGATTCTGATTGA